GAAAATTCAGTTCTTTATCTCTTTCTCCAAACTGAAAAATGAAACATTTATTCATGTCTACACAGTATTATGCTTAAAATGAGCCCTGGCCCTAATTAAAGCTTTGAAGTAGTATAAAATAAAGAATGGCCAAATAACTATTTTTATCTTCATGAAATGCTGCTAGAAACTCCCATTAGGCCTTAAAACCCATTGGAAAGAGGTGAATGGGATTGAGCTATTTTTGTATATTAAATTTTGGCACGGATTTTCAGATCTGCTTTTTAAAAATGAGATCACAATCAAATGTAAGAAATCCTCAAACAAAGAAAAAGCCCTAAAACTGAGTGCAAGTTAGGTGTTAAAGGGCAATCTCCTAACATGCCCTCCAGAGTGAATCACTCTGCAAGAGTTCTGTGCAGGCTCCATCTTGTCTTTTGGTCCAAGGCATAATCACAGGAGAAGGATTTCAAAAGGCAGGAATCCTGCCTGGCTGCTTAAGCAGCACTAATAACACGTTTGCTCTGGTTAGTCACGGATGTAATCTCCATGAGGAATACTGGTGAGTTACCTAAACAGAGCATTGGAGGTACTGGCTGTGCGTGTGACTCTCCTGTCACCAGCCTGGCCCTAGCAGCTCTCAGAGCACGATAAGCTGCCTTATCTTAAAAAAAGTGTAACTTTGCTGACTTTGTTATCATCTGCAAGCAGCAAGCAGGAAACTAATTTGCATGTTTCTCAATAATTCTCAATCTCATTGCTTAGAAAAGGCTGACTATAAACACTAAACAACAGGATGGGCTCAGACAAAAGGCTTTTGAATCTGCTTTTAACAGTAGCCAACTCTCACTCCAGCCATTAAAATACATTGATTTGTATGGGGAACAGGACTTTATGTTCAAGTTGACATTCTTTCATATTTTTTATTATATGGAGGGAACATTTGCTATTTCATATTTATTTAGGTTCCTATTTGCTGGCAATTTTATTAAGCTAAAAAATAATACTTTTGAGAGAAAAATTAAAATACATAAAACAGTAGAGATATTTTCTGGGGACAGTTTACATGGAATGCCCTAACATTCCCAACACTCCAGTCAGTTGAACAGTTGGTGTCCAGTTACTTGTAGAATCACAGAATGAATCACAGAATAGTTTGTGCTGGAAGGAACCTTAAAGATCATCTCATTCCCATGCTCCCACCTAGGATAGGGATACCTTTCACTAGATCAGGTTGCTCCAAGCCCCACCCAGCCTCTCCCTGAACACTTCCAGGGATGGGGCATCCACAGCTTCTCTGGACAACCTCTTCCAGTGCCTCACCACCCTCACAGGGAGGAATCTCTTCCTGATATCTAATCTGACCCTGCTCTCTGTCAGTTTGAAGCCATTCCCTCTTATCATGTCACTCCACACCCTTGTAAATATCCCTCTCAAACTCTCTTGTAGCTACCTTGAGGCACTGCATAGATACTTAAATCCTTCAACATTCAAGAATTATTTTCTCAGACTCAATATTTATTCCTAAAAAACAAAACTTCCTACTTCTTTTTATGTCCCAGTTGGTTTCTTGACATATAATGAACAAGGCAAAGAAAGAAAAACCACTACCTTTTCCTGCACCTACAGGAGAGACCGCTGTGACAAATGCTGCTTTAATCTAAACAGGACCCTTGGTCAGTTTTTCAGATATGGTAGGTGCAGATGTCTCTGTATCCTCTCTTGGCACCTCTCAGAGTTAATAAGGACACCCTGAATCAGGTACAGTTTGGCTATTTCTAGTAACTATCAGTGAGCTCTTTGCACACATCCCAATGTCCCGCAGAACACAACGAAGTGTGAAGTTCTGGCATCTGCAGCAATGAGCTCCTTGGGTCTGGCAGCCTCCTGCATTCAGGTGAAAACCTTCTACCAGCTCCATACAATGCCCTGCACATCTGGTAGTGTGAGAGGCAATGGACAGTGAACCCTGACCACTCTTCCACATCACACATTATGGTGAAAATTTCTACAATTTCTCGCCTGAGGTTCTTTTTTGAGACAGATGACAGGCATTTGTGACAGCTGAAGACAGCAAGCTCAGTAGTTCTTCACCCAGAAGCTTTCTGAGGCCTTTGATGATCCCTGTGGCCCTTCTCTCACACTTTCCAGTTTTGCTAACTATTTTTCATCAGACCTGCATAGAGTACTCAAGACAACAACAAACAGCAGCTTTATGGAGTAGCATACTGAGGCTCTACAGATGGCTTTCTGTGTACTTTCTAGTAATTTCTAGTGTTTGATTTGCTGTCTGATCATGGAACAGCAAGTTAATTCTTCCATGGGTGTACCACTTACCACTTCAAGATCTTGCTCCTAAGGGATAATAGCAAGCTTGGTCTTAAAAAAAGAAAGCATTTTTATTTCACTTTGAAAGTCCCACAAAACCCTCAGCAATATGTCTTAAATGACACCATTATAGTATGAAAGCAATTTATTATTATTATAATTTAAAAGAGCAAGGAATTAAAAATGGAGTGAAAAGCCTTAAATCTTCTTATGGGGGATAAGTCTAGGAAGGTCAGCCACTGTTTTCATCAGTTTTAACCCTGTTCTAGGAGGAAACTACCTGCAACAGCATTCTGTTATGACAGCATTGTATACCCGCTCCACAGACTCCACAGTTTTAAGAGGAAGAGTGTAGGCAGAAGATCATAAAGGACAGTTTTACCATCCTGTATTCTTTCAAACATCACTCACATTACTTTTCTTTGTCTTCTTTGTTTTACCCTCTCTCTGAAATCCTCTGAAAATAGTAGAATGATCCTTCTCGCAAAGACAGCTACCACTGCTTAGAAAGAGAACTTGGTAAAACTCAAACATGCCAAACACTTAAATGCACACAAGCAGAACAGTACTTTCAAAGTCAATTAGCTTGAAAATATAAACATGTTCAAGTGCTCTCTTGAATTAGAACCCCACAGGCAATTTACAGCCTTGGCTCTTGCAGCTCACTGCACTTCTACTTCAAAACACTTTAGCTCCACACACAGTAACAACAGAAGTTTTGAAATGTGATCTGCCCAGAAACAAACACATCCTGTTCTTTTTATCTAAGATGAAGATGAGAAATGATAATTAAAGAAGTTGAGATGTTTCATTCAGATCCTTCCCTGTCTCTCTCTTTGATATACTTAGAATTTTTCTGTTTGACTGTGATGAGAATGGAGCACAAGAACATAAAGGAACAAGGAAAGAGAGTATCCACTATGACTGAGAGGCTGTTTTCCTTAGGTTGTTTATACAGATCTTGGCTCCAACCAAGGAGCCACTGCTCAGCCCGGCCCTGTGGAGCCACCTCTCTCCATGGAGCACACAAACACAGGCCCTCTGTCACCAGCCTGGGATAAACTGCTGTGACTGCTCATTTACACCAGCTAAGTCAAGCCTAAACACCCTGCTTTCCTTTCTTAATAGGTCGATGTCCAAGCTGCTCTCTGAAAGACTGAGACTCACAAGGCACTTAGGATGTTCCTTATCTGTAACCCATTCTTGCACTCTGAACAGTCTTGGTGCAGTTCATGGGACTGTTTTTTGTGAAGGCAATTAGAATGAATCTAAAACCTTGCTCAATCAGTCAAGACAACTTTTGAGTACAGCACAGTAGTTCAGATGAAGAGAAAACCCTAGAAATCTCTACATGTCAGTTCTCAAATAGACTAGATGAAATTACCTAGTAAGATTTTTTATATTTGAACACAGAATCGATCCTTTAATAGGTTGGGTTGTTTGGGTTTTTTTTAAAAATAAATCTTCCACTAAAAAAGTTCAGCAAAAGCTACAGAATAAGGAACACCAGCCATGATCTCAGATATCCTGAAAAGAATTTGAAATGTTCTTAGACAAAATAGAATCTGGGAGAAAAAGGAAGAAAGCTTCCTCCAATACCTTAAAGGACTAGCAATGGTGACCACTTTCAAGCATGCAATTCAGGTTAAATAATATTTTGCAGTCACCAGATCACCTACAAAAGGAAAGTAGGGTCAATCTGCAAACTCTCTCTGAATGGTGTCACTGATATAATTATTATTGGCAAATCAAACCACAATGACAAGATGAGAAGCAGATGACAAGTTTTGCATCACTTTTTCATCTCTCTCAAAGTGGAGACTTTACATAAAAAAACTAAATTAAATACGGTATTTTTTCTGTAAGATTTATGGAAGAACAGAATTTACACTGAAGATAAAAAATGTAAACTTTTTAGGTTGCTGGATTAGAAAAAAGAAGTCTTTTATAGATTTCTCCATTCTGGGAAGCCTTTTTTTTTTTAACCTCCCAAGAAAGAGAAAGCTTGAAGAGAAACCTCCCCTTGTGTTTCTAAGGCTCAAAATGGTATTTTTTTCTGAAATGTAAGATGATTGTACCATAAGGAATGCAAGGCTCTGAGTAAAAACAGAAAGTTGAAGGTAACCCTGCATGCAGCCTACAAACTAACAAAGCAGACAAATCATAAAGGACATATAAACCAAAAATGTTAGATGGAGACTTCCTTGAATTTATTTGCTAAAGGTAAACTAGAAATTTCTGTTTTGTGCCAGTAGTATCTCATAAAACATTCTAATACATTCTTAGAACATGGGATTAAAAACATTCTGTAACAGATAATTTTACTAATCTGAAACCTCTGTGTGTGGTAACTGATATAAATCTGTGTTGCAGTTGAATATGCCCCAGAACAATTGTTGGAATCTCAATGTGTTTTTCACTTCTCTTAAAAAATAAGCCTGTTACTTCCATCATTAAAAATCCCAGGCCAGTATACGACACATTTGGTTTTGCTTTTCCAGAAATCAATATTAGTTTTCCTTTTTGAAAAAAAACTCATGTGAGAACAAATAAAACACAGTGTTCTTTTTAATTGTGAAACAACTAATTACTGATGTGATTAAAGTTCTCTAAGTATCCAATTCTTTCAAGGTATCTGTGAGAGAAAGAGTAGAGTTACAGAACCTTTGGTGGCCATCTGGCTGTTTACTCACCCATTTCTTGCCTGGTACTGCAGACTCCTGTCCCGTATTTTTCTAACTCTATGGTCACAGTTTTCAAAGCATTAACATCTGTTTCTGCAAAGCCGAGGTAGTTATAAGAACCCATATTGATTACATTCTTGATAATCCTTCCTGTAAACCTATAATTAAAGCAAATTTTGAACAATAGTGCAATTTCCCCTCCAATCCCAAATGAAAAGAAAAAATCACGAAATTTTCCAACCAAATTTTGTTCCAGTGTCAAATTTCTGCTTGGGAATTTACAATTCTGATACTCTAACAGCCCAGAAATTTTTCTAGACTTTTTCTTTTCCTAACTAAGTACTGCTTCATGGTCAGAGTGCTTTCTGGAAGCCATGCTGTAGATGGCAACATATTGTATGGGGTGAATGGCTGCTTTTATGGATTTAAATAAACAAACCTATGACTTTATCTAAGGAACAACTTACAGCCATTAATTTTTCAAGCAAATTTCCAACTGCTTCCATTAAGTCATCAGTGTTCTCACACACACACAGAACTTAAACTTGATAAAATATAGGAAATATTCTCAATAAGCTCAAATATAGCTAAACCTCCACATTGTACATGCTGTGAATTCCTGTAGCTGCGTAATTCAGCTGCAGTACACCTTAAAACTTAAAACCACTGCTTAAAGCCCACTGCCAAAAACTGACTATGAAGGCAAGAAGCCACATTCATGCAATGCAAGAAATCACAGTTTAAAACCTATCCAAGGGATAAAACAAATTTTGTTGTAATATTCTGAGTGGAGGTCTGCTGTTAAAAATGGTGTGTGAGCAGTCCTGTGCTGCCACAGCCAAACCCATTTGCAATCGAGTTGGAAATCTATTCTGCATTTCCAAACAAATGCTCAGAAGAAAATGGTCAGATTGTCAGCATGGTACTGGCTGCAGAAAGAAAATGCGGTGATGGATTTCAGACAAGGATCTCAACACAACTTTCTGTGCTTTATAGAGGTGTCAGGATTTGCTCATGAAGCTGAGAGTAGCAGAGTGTAAGATGACTCACCTAAATGTCCAGTTGTAATCATCTGTAACGCGCTCCATGAGGTCAAACTGTGGCCCAGGGACACTGCAAATTGGACGATTCCAGTTATCCCGTATTCTCAAATAGAGGTTTCTGGTGTAAAAGTTCTCAAAATCTTGATAAAGTGGCACAAAATCCTGGTTTGAAAACATGCACAGGGTTATGTTGCTGGGAAAATATCTGCTTCTGTACCCAAGCCATTCCTATTAACAAGGAAAAACTGATTCATCAGTAAACAGAGAGCCATAGCAGCCACATGGTTCTATGTCACTTACAACTCCAAACAGCAATTGTCTTGCTATAATTCTTTTAAAACTTAATATTGTATTTCTTAGAGGCAAGTTTGTTTCTGTTTTAAGATTGGGGTTTTTTTTGGTTGGTTAGCTTTTATTTTTAATTTTTTTTGGCCAACAAATTGGTCTAACTCTCCCTATATATCCTAAAAGTTGGAAATGGGAAAAAACCAAGATTATTTCACTTGAAAAAAATCAATTGCTTCAAACTGAGCATTTTTCTATATGTGGAGCAGATTGCAGAAATGTAGGATAAACAACTCACTACATTTCATGAAATGCTGGATACATTAGACAAAAGCTAGTCCAATATATGTGATTTGGGCATTACTGGCCTAACATGGAGATGCAAACATCCAGCTAGGACTTTTTTTTTTTAGTTGAGAATTAATTAATTAATTAATTAATTAATGTCTATCCATGGATTTTACTTGGAAATTAAATTTAAACAAAGCTTTATATGAAACAGCAATATATTCATGTTGGGCACTGCATACAATAAACTGATAAAATAACATGGTATGCAGTTAACATATGTGGGAGAATGAAATAAACATGTAATCCACAGTGAAGGAGAAAAAAATTTAACTGGCACAACTGGAATCAACAAATGGCCAAAACATGAAGTGAATTGAAAGTGATATTCATTAAGTTATGCATGCATCTTTGAAAAGCTAAAACAGGAAACAATTTCAGGAATTTTATTTTCAAGAGAAACAGTAGAACAGTTCATGTTTACCAGGTATTATTGTAAATGATGACTCAAACTGCACAGAGAAGGAGGAGCACCCAAAAATTCTAAACAAAGTTGGAAGGCAGTTGATCTTGCTAAGGTGCAAGTTTTACTTTGAACTACGTGGGATGAAAAAAATTTGGGATTTACAAGAATTCAATTATAACAAAATTAGGACTGTCTCGCTGTGAAAGACGGCATAAGACAGACAGACGGGACAAAGGAAAATCAGGGTTGAAGAGATTTGGAAAGTTGATATATTTAACAGTAAGATATTTACATGTTTTATTTTTCTGTGGATTGACCTCATATACTGAGATTCTGTTTTGGTGAGAGCATTATGGCACTCTTAGAACGAGGTGAACATCCCTGGGTAAAAATGATGATTTTACATAAATGTAGGTACATAATCATACATAATCACACAACTCCACTGCAGGGTGTGTCACTCCTCTCACTCCTGTGCAACCTTCTGTAAAATGAAAGTTGTCTGCCTTGTTACTTCCACAAGTTGCTGTAAATCACTTGCAAGCAGGGGAAAGCTCATCTGTGGATACATAATGACTTTTTCATACATACTTTTTGTTGTTCTCTCTCCGCAGCAATGTTACGTTTTTCTAGTCCCCAGGCTCTCATAAAATCTCGCAGGTAGCCAAATATTGTTCCCACTGCAAACCCCACGAAAGTAAAAACTGCAACATACATTGGTGCCTGTTCAAAGTGCTCAATAAATGTTTTTTTGTAGAGAGTTCCATTTGATACTCCATTCTTCTGAAAAAACAGAACAGAAACTTGTGATTAATACATGCAATCTCATCAAAGCTTAGACCCTTTGATCTTGGGGCAAATCTTTTTCTGTAATTAGGAGAGACATTTAGACCTCACACTGTATCAGCTGAAGAAGAGGACCTGAACACTGCAGCTGCTACTGACCACTACAAGAATCTTCATTTTCTCTCCTCTTATGTCCTCAGTTGCAGATGTCTTCAACACCACTCCCTTATCTATTTTGAAACATGTGAAACTTAGGAAAGATTGGCAATGCATTATTGTGCAATTGGACAATTACTTCGAAGGTGATTAAATGGAAACCACGATACTCTGTCTCGCAAGACAGAGCTATAAAAAGGGAAGGGCAGCATTAAAAGCTCACCTACACTGTGCCTGACTGCTTCTGGAAGTCTTGTGTAACCCATTGCAGCAACTAACCTATATAAACTAAATCCTGCCTGAAACAGAGCAGCTCTACCATGATGCTCCCCAGACCTGAAGAAGTATCCAAAACAGTTATGATCCCTGCCTTCTATTTCTGTTGATTTCACAAATCCTATTTTCAGTGATGTCTCCCCTAATTCTAAGGGTACTTAAAAACAAAATAGAGAAGAGCAAAAGTAAAGAAAAAAACCAATAAAAACAGGAGACACAGGCAGCTTTGCTTGCTGGAATTAGTGATCCCATTGTGAGCAAATTCTAAAAATTTCCAACAGTGTGTGGACAAAATATTGTGTCATTAAAATACATTAAGATTTCCATTTTCAAATTAAAGAAGCTAAGTTTTTCAGTTGCCATGTTCAATAGGCTCATCAGAATATTCTTTGGAAGAGTGGTAACTCCCATATTTCTGCAAAACTGCCTTTACAGCCAATCTGCTAATTCAAAATTAACAAACGGCAATTGAGAAAAAAATAATGCCCTGTTAAAAAAACCCCAAACCAAACAAACAAATACCCAAGATATATATTTTGACATATTCTAATGCAAAACTGCAAGCATATGAAGAAATACCATTAATACATTTCTGTCTGTGGGAAGGATGAACTATAAAAGTATATCACCTTGTTATGTAATGCAGCAAGCTGAAATAGAATATTTATATTAAGAACGATTGCCAATTCACTCTACTTGTAAGGACAGAGTATTACTGATCTTCACATCATATTAAAATGTCTTTATCCTCAAAAGATTTCTGTTGTAACTTGCTGGTCCAATCCTGGATTCCCCAATGGTTTTTTGGGTGAAAAAGGAATTAAAAAAAATAAAACAAAAGCATTGTTGGGCACATGAGAAAATAGAAAGGCTGTTAAGGAAACTAAAAAAACAAAAAATGCTGCTTGTGCTCAAGAGAAGCACATTTAGAAACACTTACTGCCCTGCAAGGGAGAAAGAATGCAGGGCTGGCTCTCACTGTGTGAGGGGACACCTTTGAAGAAATGCTGCACATGCACTCCTACCTCAAGCTAATTGCTCTTCTAGGGCAACCTATTTACCATGAAAAACATTTTATGAGGATGAGTTAAATACACAGTCAAGTCAAACTTCACATGAGTCACAGCAGCTGTGTGCACATAGGCATGAGATAAAGCAAATATTTCAGAAAGGATTAAGCTCAGTCCTATTACCTTACATTTGCCATGGGCTAATAGCATATTTATGGTCATCTATGGAAATTCAAGTGGCATTGTAGCTTGATGCTCTTGAATCAATTGACATCAAGCTGTGATGATGCACCTGAGTCCAGAGGAGAGAGTTATGATGTTTCTGTTTATTGACTTTATTAAGAAACACTTTATTGCTATAAACCTTATTGGTGAAGGAACAGGAAAGCTCCTATCAGACTTCTGCACTGTAACGTGCTTCTTCCACAAGAGAACTCTGCTGCTGTGGAACTCTCACTTCAGCAGGTGCCGTTTGGTGCAGTCAGTATGACAGGTGTATTTAACCAGGCACCCACTGCCACTGTCCTTAACTCAAACAGCTGGGAGGAAGGAGCACAGACAGTGGTGAAGTACGAAGAATGTGGAGCCAGATGTGACCCACATTCTCCAGGCTATGAAGGACAAAACCCAAGAGTCTTCAGACACTTGGTACAAGACTGGGATAACAAATTCAAAAAACACACTGACACCTTGCCTAAAAAATAAAGTGAGGAAAACAAAAGAGCATTTAATCCATCCCTGGAGTCACACAAAAAGGTATAGAGTCTCAAGAAAGAATAACCAAAAGAAGTGGATTTGCTGCTTCTGGAGAGTGGGGAAGTGGTAGCAGGGATGTTTTTGTGCAGCATTTCTGGTCCAGGTGTGGGGTACATGAGTGACTGACTGAGCATCATGAAGGTGTTTGATTTCAGCCAGTCTAAATTGGCTGAATTGGTCAGTGAAGCAATGGTTGTCATCCTGCACTACATTACTGTTGACTTTTTCTACGTTATCATAAAGTTTTATCTCAGAAGAAGGAGGTGGATTTGGAGACTCTGCATTTAGAACAGCACCTACAGAGTGAAGGAAGATGTAATTCCACTGTTGGTAGCACTGAAATCAAATACAGCAGATTTCCTACAAATGCCTGAAACAATTCAGAGATCATTAGTTACACCATTACACAGCAGGTGCTCTGCTGAATTGTGTGTCATTATCTGTAATAACACCTGTAATAGATAGTACATTTTATACTCCATACCTTCAGCTGCAGCAATTGGTTGGGCAAAGATTCTAAAATATATATATATATATTCTTCCAACTTTAGCAATTGGTGGCTTTGAGATTTTATGACTCTAAGACAGTCTTAGCAGCTTTAACAGTCACCAGGGGATACCTATGAATGTGTTCATCATTTCTCAGCCTAAAGATGTTGGGGAAATAAATTGTGACTTTTGATAATTCATTTAATCTGCAAAATTTTTTTTCTTTTTTTATAATGAAATTACCTGACAGTGTCATGACAATTTACTTTGACTGTTCTTGTGTGCTGTGCTTTCCTACTCAGCCAACTACACAACTCATAATTTTCTATACTTAAATAAATTCTGCCTCTACATTTGTCTCTTCTCAACCCAGAAGAATCTTAATCTATATCATTCTAGTCCAGTCTTCTTGTCCTTACATGAATTTAAATGCCCAAAAATAAATTTTAAAAATTCCATATTTTCATGCTCAACTTTCTCTTCACTTTGCAAAAGTCAATAAAACATTTTTGAGATGAAGAGGATGCAAATTAAAATTGCATACCCTACTTGATGGCACAGTAGGGATTTATACACCTACAAAAGATGCTTTGTTTTATTTTCTTTCTTTTTAAAGACTTTACATTCTATTTGCCTTCTTGCCACAGTTCACAGTTTCACCCCTTATGATTACATATATCCTTCCTCAGTTGCAAAATACCAAATTTAGAGCACACTGCTGTTTGTGCATTCTTGGGACCATTTCCCCTTCCAATTAATTGTTTGGTTTTTATTTAGTGACCTGATTTTTTTTATTATATTTTGCCAACATTATACACACTACCAACAAGAAACTTCTGCAGTGTTTCTGTGACATATTGTCACTTATTTCTCCTCACCCCTTTTTCCACACCACTGATGAAAATCTGAGAGCACACATCCAAAGAGTGATCCCTGGGGAACTCCATTTCCTGCATTTCCCTCCTTACCTTTTCAAAAATTGTTTATTTGTAACCCCTAGTATCTCTGGCAAAAAGGGCAACATAAGCAGCAGCCCAGAGTTACTCAGCAACTTTATCTTTGGCTTTTTAAAAAAATCTTGAGTAAATACCCCTTGTGATATGTTAATCCAAAATTTACTCACTTGTTCTAAAAATTCTGCTGGCATCTCAAATCAAAATAGTTTCTCACTGGCCTGAGTAAACACATTTAGTTTACCTTCCAGGCACAAATGCAGGGAATCTACTGGTGAAACATAAAGACATGCAACACAGAAAGGCAATAGGTGAAATTCGAGGAGAATGAATGTTTTACCAAGGAATTTTACAAGTCTAGGATTTCATCAGCTTCTTGGAAGCCAAAAGCACAATAAGTACAGGCAACTTTTGTGGGTTGATCCTCTGCTTAGCTGGTTTCCAGCAAGATGCTGCAGCAAGAGAATTCCTTGCAGCAAGATTTTGCTGGAGTGATGGCAATACAGCAAAGTCAGCTTTAAGTACAATATGTCTTAGATTCCCATTTTCTATAACTAGCCAAAATATTTCAAAACTCTCCCTTAATGAAGAACCCATTCCAAAAGGCCTCCTTCAGTTTTTCAAATGGAGAAATCAATTCTGACAACAAACCTCAGAGTGTTACTAGAATGGACATCAGTATAAAAAACTGAATACATGGAATACACAATTTTTATTGAAATAACTTGCTCTAATAATAATGTAAACTCATCTTGAAGTCGATTACACAGACTTCTGGCAACACCTTTACAAGCAATAGTTACAAAATATATTTCCACTAGCAAAGGAAAAAAAAAAAAGACAGCTATGCAATAGCATGAATAATACTTAAATATTTGCTTACACAACCATTAAAATTAGGAGATAATTTTTCATTGCATTTAGGTCCTGCAGCCCTTGGAATTGTACTAATTGGCACGGGTCAGATTTGCATCAAGGGAATAGAGTGAAGAATTGAATAGCACAGAGTGCCAGAGTACCAAACCTGTGTGCTGGCCCTGAGTAACACCCCAGCACAGAGGTAACCATGTGTGCTGGGTGAGTGGAGCTGTATCAGGGAAACTGAGCCCCAAAACCCCATGTTTTCATGCAAGTCTGCTCCACAGAGACAACAAACTTTAATTAACTATTCTCCCGCTATTATGGCCACTTTCAGAAGGTACAGACAAGTATATCCTTGAAATAAAACTACTGGGAGAACAATAAAGTATTTGTCTTTAAATATAAGTTCCCTGCCAGGAATTAAATCTGATCCAGAGGTGGATGAAACTTTATGTATGTTTCTGGATCAGATTTTATCTGTAAGTTGTTCTATTAA